AAATAAAAAAATAATTTAATTTAAATACAATACGTGTTGTGCGTGTACTTGGCGCCTGTTTTTACCTTTTTTTAAAAAGGTAAGTTTTTAGAGTATCACACACTTTATATTTTGTTCCTTAGAGTATCACACACTTTATATTTCTATACTACACTAGATCGCTAACTTAGGTAGTGGGGATGAAGCCACCAATTATCATTATCCGCATTACAAATGGCTCTGAACTTCCTGTCAACACCTATAATTTCGTATATTCTTAGTATAGAAATATGTCATTTACATCGCGTTATATTGTGTGTGTAAGAAACGTCAGTGGTGTAACGAAATAAACGTCAACGCTTTTTTAAGGCAACGGAGTCGACATAAAAAATGCCACAAATTTGTTTTTTAAAATCGTGTAAAAATAAATAAAGAATAAAAAGCACTCATGATAGGACTATTCTTCAAAATCTGATGCGGTTCCAAAAGTATGATCCAATCAGAAGTGATTATCTCTCAACCGTTGTGCAACCGTTGAGTTGTCCGAACGCACCCAAATACGTGGACTTTTGGTCCACGATTCTACATAGAAATCGATCTCGAAGGAGACATTTGACCAATCATATTCGAATAGTTTGGTCACAATCGTCCAATGCGATTGGTCAATTCTCTCTTCGTGCGATATTCACGGACCGATTTCCAAGCGCCGTCGTAGACCTAAAAAAACCTACGTCCTATATGCATGAAAAAAACGTGCCCTTCGCGCATGCGCGCGATAGTGTGCCACTGGCAGAGATGCCAGTTGCGGACGCTAACAGCATGCTCAGGGCTGTGTTCAGTTAAGCAAGATGGAACGAACTAATGGAGGAAATGCAGGAAATACAGGAATTGGAACTAATGAATTCCTGTATTTCCTGCATTTCCTCCATTAGTTCGTTCCATTTTGCTTAACTGAGCACAGCTCTGTGTTCAGTTAAGCAAAATGGAACGAACTAATGTAGGAAATGCAGGAAATATAGGAATTCATTAGTTCCAATTCCTGTATTTCCTGCATTTCCTCCATTAGTTCGTTCCATCTTGCTTAACTGAACACAGCCCAGCAAGTAGAGGAGATACACAGATGAAACGCACACAGGCGAACAGCCGTGTACGTGTGCGCTCAGCGCCTCGGCGAGTGGCTGCTCGCTTGTGTGCGTGTCCCCTCCCTCCACTTGCTGCTGCATGTTGCTGGCGTAGCGTCCGCATACTGGCATCTCTGGGCCTACTGGTTTCTTCCGAAATGGCCGAATGCCTTTGAAGAACGGCGAAGGACGTATTGATAAATTTATCACGTTCTTCTGGCATCGTGAGCATGGCAGAATATTTGGATTCTGAGGCCGACGTGAGTGAGGTGAGTATTATCGTAATTCTTCGTCTCTCTTTTTTTTTCCTTCTGCGATAGTTTTATTAATGTAACGCGCCGATAACTGATATCTCCGAGATTTTTGCTACGATACACGGAGTTCTGAAACGCGATCAAAATGCGTTACGTTTTCAGGGCGAAGAAGAGGAGTTCAGTCAAAATGAGAAACAAAAGAAGAAGCCGAAGACGGTGGAAGAGAGCGACGACGAGGAAGAAGGTAGGAAACGACTTGCATGTGCAATATTGAACCTTATGGTCTCTTTCCTGCGACATTCTTCGGTAAATACATGATCTTTAAAAAACGGCGCAATGCGAACTCTCTGGCTCTTTTCTCTTCGTAAATTTTAAAATAATTTGTTTTATAGGTTGTAGACCAGGTTGATCTAATTTTTTAATACTTTTATACGTAAAATATTTTTTTCCTATATTTTTTAAAAAATTGTTTCGCAATAAATTTGTAAGTATATTGCTTTGACCATTTATAATTTTTGGAAATGAAAAAATAAGAAATTAATAAATGTAAAAGTGTTAAATATATAAAGAATCTTGTAATATATTGTTAAATTTATAAATTTTTTATCTTTTTAATATTTTATTTAATAAATTTGTAAGTATATTGCTTTGACCATTTATAATTTTTGGAAATAAAAAAATAAGAAATTAATAAATGTAAAAGTGTTAAATAAAGAATCTTGTAATATATTGTTAAATTTATAAATTTTTTATCTTTTTAATATTTTATTTGAATGTTTTCGTCTTTTTAATGTTTTATTTGAACTTCTAAATATCACTAAAATATTTTATATTTTCTTTTGAATTAATGAATAAACAACTAACTATCTACTAAATCAACAATTATTTCATCAAACAGTAGATAACAATAGATAAGTAATTTCATCACACAGTAGATATGTATAGGTGTACTCATAATACATAGTAGCACATAGTCACAACCTCTGCCACACCCAGTGTCCACATACCATTTTGGAAGTATCGCGAATCTTCTTTCTTTTCTATATGGCTTTCTAGGGAAAAGACACAATATCATTTTGCAAGTATCTCGAATCTTGCTTTCTTCTTTTCTATATGACTTTCTAGGAAAAAAATGTAATAAATCAAAGTTGATTCAGAGAGATACAAATGTTTTTACGCATTATATATTTATTTTCCTTGTTAAATATAGAACAAAGTTAGAATGTTTTGTAGTTGTATACATCGATGTCAGTCTATGACAACGAATATACGCAGGAAGAACCTAGCTTTACCATTTTTTCCCCTTTTTTCTGTTTTATATTACATAAAGCAACAATAAGTATGAATGTAAAAACTTTTTTTGCAAACGTAAAATATCTAAATTTGTTTATAGTTTTATATCTATCCTATTTTCTTATATATTTTTATATCATTTTATATCACTTATTGTTAGTTGTTTGTAACATAAAAAGGTGATGAATTTTTAAAAATATATAAATATAAAATTTATAATACACATAAAATATTATATAGATGATGAGGAGCAGTTGCGGGAGGAATTGAAAGATCTGATAGACGACAATCCCATAGAGGAAAGTGAGGGCGAAGACAGCGATGGTTCTGACCATCATAAAAAGCGTAAAAAAAGTGACGATGAAGATTTTGATGATCGTTTGGAAGACGAGGATTATGATTTGATTGAGGAGAATTTAGGTGTCAAGCTTGAAAGAGTATGTTTTTTCACTCAAATCATGACATTCCACACTGAAACACTAAAAAGAAGAAGGCGTGTCAATAATATTTATTTGTTATAGAAACGTTTTAAACGTCTTCGAAGAATTCAAGATGAGGAATCGGAGGAGGAGCAGGAAAAAGAAGCTGACGAAGAAAGAGATGCTATTGCTAATGAGTTGTTTGAAGGATCTGGAGATGTAAGTTGTGCAAAACTAAATCAAGAGTACAAGTGTATTTGTTTCTGTTTAATATAATTTAGTTAAAATTTATGTGTGCACATGCAATATACAATATTGATATACAATAAGAATTGCAATTTGCACTTGTTCGTAGCTTCTCTTATTTATCGTCGAGAGTTCGATAACGCTTTAATATGTATCTTGCTAAAGAGCAATCTTTATCATTTTTGTTTCTACTGACATACATTGACATATATTTACATATACATATGCATGTAACATATACCACTGGCGTATTTAAACAAACACATGCGTGTGTGTGTGTACATATATATATATATATATATCACGTTTGCATTTGACCACATGCTTACTTATATTAGGAAAGAGATATTATTACGGTATGTATACTACGTTCATATCTTTGTTTTACATTTTGAATTTGTTTACGCATTATTACAACAGTTTGTTACTTTATGCTATTTTTAGGAGGACGAGAGGCGAAGCGAAAGAAGTCACAGGCCCGAAGCAGAAACTTTTGAAGAAGGTAGCGATGAAGGTGAATACACCGATGCCGATGATTTTATTGTTGATGATGATGGCAGACCTATTGCGGAGAAGAGGAAGAAGAAGAAATTGATATTTTCCGACGCGTACGTTGCGTTACACAATTTTATATTTATAGTATCCGTTTATTTTATTTTTTTTTATTTTTTTTTTTTTTACAGGTTTGTTGCTTTTAACTTAACGAATTTGTAATTTTTATGAAACAAGGTTTTTTCTCTTTTATTTAGAGCGTTGCAAGAAGCGCAGGATATTTTTGGAGTTGATTTTGATTACGACGAATTCGGCAAATATGGCGAGGAAGACTACGAAGAGGAGGAGGAGGAAGAGGAAGAAGATGAGTACTTGGACGAGGATGCCGATGCCGAACGTCCACGACGGCCTAAGAAGCAGCTGAAGAAAAAGACCACGAGGAAGAGTATCTTTGAAATTTACGAGCCTAGCGAATTGAAGCGTGGTCACTTCACTGATTTAGACAACGAAGTACGATGCGATCATTCAATTATTGATGTTGACAATAGTCAAGTTTATTACAGTATTATCACTTAACGACATACGCAACTTTTCATTGCAGATACGTACTACGGATATACCGGAAAGAATGCAATTAAGATCCGTGCCGGTTACGCCGGTTGCGGAAGGTTCCGACGAACTGGATCACGAGGCAGAATGGATATATCAACAAGCATTCTGCAAACCTACGATATCCGTTCAGGACGCTCATTTGAACGCTGAGGCTAAGGAACGGGCGCGTAAGGGACCGCAGACCATCGGCAAGATCAAGAAAGCTCTGGACTTTATGCGCAATCAGCATTTCGAAGTTCCCTTTATATCTTTCTACAGAAAGGAATACGTGCTACCCGAATTGAATATCAACGATCTGTGGAAGGTGTATAAGTTCGACGCTAAGTGGTGTCAGCTGCGCCAGCGGAAGGAGAATTTGCTCAAGCTGTTCGAAAAGATGCGCAACTATCAGCTAGATGAGATTATGAAGAACCCGGATGCACCGTTGCCAGAAAACTTGAGAGTGATAAAGGACGATGACATAGAGCGACTGAAGAACGTACAAACGAGCGAGGAACTCAACGACGTTTATCATCACTTTATGTTGTATTACAACAACGACATTCCGGCTATGCAGGAGGCCGTGCGCAAGAAGGAGAAAGAGGCGCGGCGCGAAGAGAGACTTCAGCGTCGCAAACAACAGATCGCTGAAGCGGAAGAGAACGGCGAGGATCCACCGGAAGAGGACGAAGAACTTGAAGAGGAAGAAGTTGACGAATTGAAACAGGCATCGAGAGGCGGTCCGTATTCGATCTGTCGCAAGGCCGGCCTGGACGGGCTAGCGAAGAAGTTTGGCCTAACGCCCGAGCACTATGCTGAAAATCTGCGTGACAATTATCAGCGTCACGAAGTGGATCAGGAAGCGACCGAACCTACGGCGATCGCGAACGAGTACATCAGTGCGCGTTTCAAAACCACGGAAGAAGTGCTGAAAGCAACTCAGCTAATGGTGGCAATTCAGTTGGCGCGCGAGCCGCTTGTGCGCAAATGCACGCGCGAGATGTACATGGAACGCGCCAAGATCTCAATAAAACCGACAAAGAAAGGTATCAAAGAGATTGATGAGAATCATCCGATCTACACGATGAAATATTTGAAAGACAAGCCGGTGCGCGATCTCGTGGGGGTGCAGTTTTTGAATCTAATGATCGCCGAGGAAGACAAGCTTATCGTAATTACCTTTAGCGACAGTATTGAGGGCAATACCAGCAGCAACTATGTCGACGAGATGAAGCAACTCTACTGCCGAGATGAGTTCAGTAAGCTCGTTCAGGACTGGAACGCGTTACGCGTGGGCAGTGTCGAGATAGCTCTCAATCGTATGGTGATACCTCACTTGAAAAAGGAATTGCGTACGAATTTGATCGCGGAGGCGAAGGAGTGCGTAATGCGAGCGTGCTGTCGCAAGATGTACAATTGGATCAAAGTCGCGCCGTACACTTGCGAATTTCCTGAGGAAGAGGATGAAGAATGGGACACTAGTAAGGGTTTGCGCGTCATGGGTTTGGCTTACGTGCCTGATTACTCTCAGGCAGCTTTTACCTGTTTAGTTGCGGCAGACGGTGAATGCACGGATTACTTGCGTTTGCCGCATTTGATGAAGCGCAAAAACAGTTATCGCGAAGACGAGAAGATATTGAAGGAGGCTGATCTTCTGGCGTTGAAGAATTTTATAGCCACCAAAAAGCCTCACGTGATTGTGGTAGCTGGCGAATCACGAGAGGCAATGATGATCGCAGCTGATATCAAGGAGTGCATTACCCATTTGGCAGAAGAGGAACAGTTCCCGAACATTCAGGTGGAAATCTGCGACAACGATTTGGCAAAGATCTACTCGAACAGTAACAAAGGCATTTCGGAATTTCGTGACTATCCAGAGCTGTTGCGCCAGGCTATCTCTTTGGCAAGGAGAATGCAAGATCCGCTCGTGGAATTCTCGCAGTTGTGTACGGCAGACGAGGAGATTCTATGTTTGAAATATCATACTTTGCAAGATCAGCTGCCCAAAGAAGAATTGCTGGAAAATCTGTATTTGGAATTCGTTAACCGCGTGAACGAAGTCGGCGTGGACGTAAACAAGGCAGTTCAACAGGCATATTGCGGTAATCTCGTTCAATTTGTATGCGGTCTGGGTCCACGAAAAGGTCAGGCGTTGATCAAAGTATTGAAGCAATCGAATCAACGATTAGAGAACAGAACGCAATTGGTTACCACATGTCATATGGGACCGAAGGTATTTATCAATAGTGCTGGTTTTATCAAGATCGACACCAACAGCTTGGGTGACAGCACTGAGGCGTATGTGGAAGTGCTCGACGGTTCACGCGTACATCCCGAGACTTACGAATGGGCTAGAAAGATGGCGGTCGATGCGTTAGAGTACGACGACGAGGATGCTAATCCTGCCGGTGCTCTTGAAGAAATTCTTGAATCGCCAGAACGTCTGAAAGACTTGGATCTTGATGCTTTCGCGGAAGAACTTGAGCGTCAAGGATTTGGCAACAAATGCGTTACTCTGTACGACATCAGAGCCGAGTTGAATAGCCGGTACAAAGATCTACGCGTACCGTATCAGTCACCGAGCGCGGAAAAACTGTTCGACGTCTTGACAAAAGAGACACCCGAGACTTTTTATGTTGGCAAGTTGGTGCTTGCCACTGTGGTTGGTATCAGTCACAGAAAACCACAAGGTGAACAACTAGATCAAGCAAATCCGGTACGTAACGAAGAGACCGGCCTGTGGCAATGTCCGTTTTGCTTGAAGAACGATTTTCCCGAATTGTCGGAAGTATGGAATCATTTCGACGCCGGTTCGTGTCCGGGCAAGGCAACCGGCGTGAGGCTGCGACTAGACAACGGTATATCGGGTTATATTCACATAAAAAATCTTTCCGATCGACACGTCGCGAATCCTTGCGAAAGAGTCGGTATGGGCCAGATCATCCATTGTCGCATTATTAAGATCGAGGTAGATCGTTTTAGTGTGGAGTGCACCAGCAAGAGCAGCGACCTTGCTGATAAAAATCACGAATGGAGGTGAGTAAATTACATAAACAAATAAATGGTGTAGCATAATAATGTTTATACAAAATTTATAATACTTTAGTCTAAAAATATTTTACATGTGTGTAACTTACTGTATATATAAATCATAATTTCGCACATCTTTTTAGACCACAACGAGATCCGTTTTACGACACCGAGGCTGAGCAGAGAGACATAAAAATAGAAGAAGACGCGAAGAAAGCAAAACAGCGGCAGATTTACGTGAAGCGTGTGATTGTCCATCCATCGTTCCATAACATCAGTTTCGCCGAAACTGTGAAACTCATGCAGACTATGAAGCAGGGCGAAGCGATAGTGAGACCGAGCAGTAAAGGTGCCGATCACTTGACAGTCACCTGGAAAGTGACCGATGACATTTTACAGCACATTGATGTTCGTGAGGAGGGCAAAGAAAACGCTTTCTCATTGGGACAGAGTTTGTGGATTGGTAACGAAGAGTTCGAAGATTTGGACGAAATTATCGCTCGACACGTCAATCCCATGGCTGCTTATGCTTCCGAATTACTGGACTTCAAGTACTATAAACCTCAAGTAGAGGGAATTAGAGATAAAGCAGAAGAGATATTGAAAGAGCAGAAGAAGGAGAATCCGAGTGGAATTCCTTATATAATATCAGCAGCTAAGGTAATAAACGCATAAACGATGATTGTTTCAAGCATCGTGTGGCAAATTCAAGAAATTTTTTTGTATTTGATTTTTTTTCTGAATTTAAGAATTGCACTAAGTTGTTTTTTTTGTTTACAGACTTATCCAGGAAAATTCTTGTTGTCGTATCTACCTCGTACTCGCTGTCGCCACGAGTACATTACCGTGACATCTGAAGGTTTTAAATTCCGAGGACAAATATTCGGCAGAGTAAGTGATATGCTACGATGGTTCAAAGAACATTTCAGAGATCCAGTTCCTGGACAATCTACTCCTAGCACGCCTCGTGGCGCAATGACTTCTAGAACGCCTTACGCCACACCAGGAGCAATCAGTGGTAAGTCTACGTTATCATCATTATCACAAAGAAGAAAAAAAATATAATGATTATTTTAATCAATTCTATTTTTAGGAATGAATCAAGAAGCGATACAGCGAGTTGCGCAGAATCTTCCACACCATATGCTTCACTCGTTGTCTCAAGTGGCGAATCAGACACCACATCACTATCCACCACATACACCGGGAACAGCTGGAGCTGGCGGTTACGGTGGAGTACACACGTATCCAAACACGCCGTACACACCATCTGGCCAAACTCCATTTATGACTCCGTATCAGACGCCGCATCATACGCCACATCACGGTCAGCCTACTCCCAGATACGGTCAACAAACTCCTAGTCATCAGGGAGGTTTCATGCATCCGCCGCCGCCTTCGATGACTCCTGGCCATCACAGATCCGCTCACAGACCCACGCCACCTATGTCAACTCCTTCCGGCGATCCGACGGATTGGAAGAAAGCAGCCGAAGCGTGGGCAGCACGATTAAAGGGTGGTCCTCGAGTTTCGTGAGTATCGTTTTTTTTTTTTTTTGTATGTTTAGCAATATTTGATTATAATCAATGGTTGAATATGCTTTAGTGGTTCGACACCCAAGTATGAAGAATCCAGAAGAACCCCACGTAGCTATGATGAATCGGTCGGTAGAGTGACACCTTCTGGAAGGAGTAGGCCGTCCTCCACAAGGAATCCGCCATATAAGTCACCACGGGGTACTCCACATACGAATTCTAGTCCGCGGAGTATGTCTCTAAGCGGAGATGGTACTCCTCTCTACGACGAGAGCTAACGGAATTGCCGTCGTACGTTTGTGTATAGTATAAATAAATATATATATATACATATATATATATACAGGGTGGGGCACTAACTCTGTCCACCTAGAATATCTCCGCTATTTTTAGAGATATGAAAATATTGCAATTACAAAAGTTGTATGGTATCAAGAGAGCTATAAGATGCTACTAATAATTTTTTCGTGAGTGGAGGCGCTTCGGAGATTTCAAGGTCACCTCTATTTTTTTAAACGGCATGCTATACTTTTTTATCCCTAGTGCAATAGCAAATATTCAAACAACTTCAACGACCTATAACGCAAGATCATTCGGTCATTAAATAAAAGAGTAAAATGATTCTTACGTCATGAGAGGTGCTCGAAATGATGTCCGTTTACATCGATGCAACGCTGCGAACGTTGCTCTTCCGCAATATTCTGTCATTTTCCAGATTTCTTTGGTTCAATTTTTCTATTTCATTTTTCCAATTTGTTATTTGTAGTTTTTATTTCATTTTTCATTTTTCTAAAACCTGCCTGGGTTTCCGGCAACATCTTCCTATCCTCCACAGCTCTATCCAATCTGTTCCTTATCAATTCCGCGTAAATCTCGTATGCAGTGCATAGCAGCGAAATGCCTCTATAATTTTTAGCCATATTATGGTCACCTCTTTTGTATATAGGAACCACAATACTTGTCCTCCACTCCTCCGGGATTCTTCTTTTCTTCCACACTTTTCCTACCATTTCCAATATACCTTTCTTGACTGCCTCTCCTCCCAATCTCCACGCCTCCATAGGTATTCCCCGTCCACCCCTGCAGCTTTTTTCCATTTCATTCTTCTTACCACCTCTATTATCTCTTCTTCCTTTACATCCTCTATCAGGCTCTCCTCTCCTATGTGTGGACCTCTTTGACCCTCACTCGTATCCTTGTTTTCCTCTTCTACCTCACCCAACTCTTCTCCCCCTAACAGGTCCATAAAATATCTTCTCCATTCTTCACTATCTATATTAGTTTCTCAAAAAGAGAACTATTCAAAGTGCACAAACTTGATTTATTCAATCAGAGAAAGCTGATTATCATACCTTATAAATTAGTTCGTTTCAATGTGTTCAGTTTCTTTGTTGATGTTGTTCCACTCCGTTTAGATCTTGTTTCACAAACAAAACTTTCTCAAATATTACTTTTCCAACAAGCAAAACTCGGACATTTCTTGTCTCGCGATCACTTGGAGTTTATAAAAAAAAAAACCAAAAATATTCGAAAGACACGTCGAACATTGTTCATTTCATTGCACACGATTTTTATTTGATTATTTTATTGTATTAATACTTTGCCGAGTCATTCGCCCGGCGTGAAGTCCTTAAAAAAACCGAGACGACATCGATTGATCAATACTTGTGATGCTCGTCAGAAAAATTAACAGAAAAATAACATTTACAATATTTAACTTTTTGTCATATTTAATTTAAAACATTTTAATGTTGTTAGTGTGAAAGGCGCTAATTATTAATTTCAGCTTATGCAATTCCTAATCTATCTAATTTTTTGTGTCGATAACAACTAGTGTTATCGGGCGATTTGAATGCGCAAGAGCGTTGCGCCACTTTCTTAGTTTTGTCGTAATTTTGTCAACATTTTCTAGTGTTATTTTATGTTCTGTTAATGTGGTTTTGCACTTCTCTCAGTTTCTAACGTCAGTTTCTATTTCATTTTTCAGAAATTTTCTTTGGTTCAATTTTTCTATTTCATTTTTCCAATTTGTTATTTGAAGTCACTTGTCGTTGATGTTCAACTTCTCTTAACCAGTGCGGATTCTCAACCGACCAATAATGCATATTATGCAAGTAATGCATATTATGCAATATTAAGAAGTGCACGTGCTTCAGGAATTCAACGTTTGCAGCGTTGCATCGATGTAAACGGACATCATTTCGAGCACCACTCATGACGTAAGAATCATTTTACTCTTTTATTTAATGACCGAATGATCTTGTGTTATAGGTCGTTGAAATTGTTTGAATATTNGCTATTGCACTAGGGATAAAAAAAGTATAGCATGCCATTTAAAAAAATAGAGGTGACCTTGAAATCTCCGAAGCGCCTCTACCCACGAAAAAATTATTAGTAGCATCTTATAGCTCTCTTGATACCATACAACTTTTGTAATTGCAATATTTTCATATCTCTAAAAATAGCGGAGATATTCTAGGTAGACAGAGTTAGTGCCCCACCCTGTATATAGGAAAAAAGAGCAAGATGTGAAATAAATCGCGAAATAGAAATAAAAAGGACCAGTTTCTATATTTATCTTGTCAATAATATTATCTGTCGGAAATAAATAAAATTAGGTAGTAAAATGGAAAATGGGATGTTGATTTCTCAAAATTAGAAAACAAGATGAAAAATAGGAATATATAGTAAGACCACTGATGTACGTATGTCAAAGAAGAAAAAACATGAGTTTAATTAACAGAAAAATTTATTACATAAAATTGGAGATACACATTTTATTTTGATTGAAACTAAAATGGTTTTATATTAACAATGTGTCTAGTTGCCACTAATTACTTAACATCTTCGAGACATGTTTTAATTTAGTGGAAAATAGTAGCGCGATTGGAAACATTTATTAATTTTTAACGTTATGAAAGCATTTTTTATAAATTAATTTCACAATTAAGTAGAATGAATGTGTATATATTTCCAGTTTTATATATAATAAATTCTATAAATTAAACTGGTCACGTTTTACGACAGAGTAAGTCAAAAATAATAGCAGCAGTAACTGCATACATATAAATTATATAGTAACTGATCCATTTTACTTCACGCGGTTTATTTCATTCCGTCTTTTCTTTATACGTTTACAGGGTATCTCAAAATCACTGCGGATTCTTTTAATAATAGATCTTACAGCTGATTTAAAATCAATTGGTTTCTTCGCAAAATAGACAGCTTATTAGTAATTTTGAAATTGCACATCATACATATATCTATTATGTATTTGGCTCACCGGTGCTTAAATTCATAAAGAGCAGTCTTTTTCTCAGTTATGCAACTTTGAAATTATACCGATTGTTCTATTTCTTTTTAAAAAAGAAACAATTGCCCATTAATCTAAAAAACTTCTCTATCGTCGTGTCGTATTATGTGTTGGATTTGGGATCTCTTGTAATATATAATATAGTGTATATAATTTTATATACTATATATATATCACACAATATAGTATATAAAACAATATAACAATATTTATATTAGTTACATAGATTATCTGCATGTGTATATCATATATTGTGCTTCCTATTTTTTTTTTTTTGTACGCGAAGTTTTATTTATGTTTAGAAGAAAGAAATGACGTTAATTGAGAGATCGTCATATCATGTAAATTGTTGTGGCGCACTATGCAATCGTCTTTTCGCGGACACAAAATCTGCTCCTCTTCGCGATTATCTTTTACAATGTATATAAAAAAGTTATATATATAGAAAATCTACACTCAATGTTATATTTGATTATTTTTTTGATTTTTTACTCATCTTGACGACACCAATAAAAAATATATAAAAATAATATGAAACTGCCACTTTGATTACAGAAGAATTAATTTATATTTTTTTCTTTTTTTTGTAATAATAAATTTGTTTTGAATTCACAAAACTTTTAAGAAATTAAAAAATTATTTAAAAAACCAATGTTATTACAATCAAGTAAAGTTACAACATCGTTTTGAGATACAATAGTGACATGGTAGAGTATCAAGGTAATCATAAATAAAAAAAATCATACTCAAAGGGGCAGTTGACACATTTTTCGTAGGTGTCGTCGACATGTTTGCAGTACGTACACATATAGAAAAAAAACTGAGTGCTATAAACTCATCATAATAGCAGTAGGTACAAGTGCGTTTCACAAATGTGAATATAATGCATGCCCCTATGTACACTAGGATATAATAAAGCTTTCCGAAGGGAAGACACGGTACTTTTCTTTTCCATGTACGTTTTTTTCTCTTTTTGACGCGTTTTCTCTCCAATTACTACCTAGCACACGAGCAGTTACTCGATGCGGACACGATGCTTTACGGTCTTTTTTCCGGAAAATTTTATTACACTCTAGCGTATACTCTAACAGTCTTTATACACACAATTTTTCTTTTTTTTAACAAAAACACCTATATATTAAAATTTTTTTATACGATACGTGTTATTTGAAAAAAATCTCTACTCACTTCAATTTATGAACTCTATTCAACATTTTTATTTATAGAAATAGAGATTTTTTTGTACAAAATATAAAAAATAACTATATACGTGAATCTGTATCGACTATATGTGACACTTAGTTAAATACGCATCCTCTGATGAATTTTTTCTTGTATCCTGACTTAGGGTAGGCGGTATTTCTTATATACAATTTATACAGTTGTTAAAATAGTAAAATAAACACATTGGCAATTTATTTGTAAATTTTATTTATTTACAACTTTGCTTTTTCCTCTCACTTTTTGAATATGTAAATCACAATAATAACTGAATTAAATATGTTGTCGTAAAAAAAAGCTTGGAACGAGATTCATCTTTCTCATATTCTTTTAACTTTTTAAAGATCAGGTAAATATACATCCAAACATAAAGATTAGACTAAACAGTAGACTAAACGGTAGACTAAAGTAAGAAAATATTTTTACTTGCAACAATATAACTTACAACAGTACAGTATATTGTATATAATATAAATAATAGTATAGGAGTACAACGAGAATATACATGTAGAAAAATAAACATTTCTTTTATGAGTATCTGTTATTATAAATACTACGTATTAATACTACAAAAATAAATGTTTGATATCACACCTGAGATTACACGATCGATGCTTGATCCTCCGATAAAAAATCTTCGGACAACTGAACATTTTTGTAATAAACACACGTTACTTCGTAACCAGATTTTCTCGTTGGTGAAACTTTGCCATGACTAAAATCAATAAAGGAAATCACGTAAAACATTGCATCGGTCAAAGCGATATAAATATCGTTTAAATAAAAGAAGTGGAAATTACGTGGAATTTCGTGCTGCCTACCGTACGGTACTGCTTGAGGATGTCTGTTTATTCTGTCGAGTTTTGATACTTGTTTGTACTCGTGAGAGCGCATTTGCATTTATGCCAGATCGAGAACTGCGCGCTCGCTGCAAAACAATAAAATTACAATAAATAAGTATTCACAAAAATTAGTTTTTACTTATATGTATGAAAAAAAAAATGGCTCAAAGTTTAAACCTTTAGCGGTGATTCTTGTTCTTCTTCGCTGGAAGTAGATATCGAATACGTCAATTGTCGCATTATTCGTTGTTTACCATTAATCGCGGATCTCCTCGTATTATTTTTTCTTTTAGAAGTAGTAGAAGAAGTATTTGTTTTGCCGGAAGATTGTGGTTTTCCACTGATGACTGTCTGCGTATTGAAATAATATAATTCGTACAAAGTTCAATTTGCTAATAAATATATATATATAAATATTTATATGTAATCATTTATATATATATATAAACTTACTGGATCTTTCTTTATGTCAGAGACTGTATTTGATTTAGGCGAAACTTGCTGCCTATTAACATCTTGTTTTTTTGTTGGTTTTTTTAATTCCGCTCTTGATTTCTCCTTTTCCTCAATACTCTAAGTAATTTGCAGAGCATAAAAAAAAACGCACATATAAAAATGAAAACGTCAAAAAAAATTATTTTAAGATTCATTCTTAATTATTTTATAATAAATTTACCGATGCCGTTTTTGATCTCTCACTCAGCGAAACTAACGAGTCATTTGAATTGCCTGGATTATAAACTAGGTTATTATCTTTTAACGATATTCGTTCGCCTACGCAGAAAATTACACAGTAAATAAAAACACTATTGCTTCTTTCTGGTATATATATATAAATATGAAATTTATTAAATTTATTTACCGCACTATTTATTCTATCTTATTTTTTTGCTTTAATATTTTATTTCTACTATATTACAATCCGTTTACTTATAATTTACCTGTCCAGTAACTTAACGGTGGTAAGAGTTTACGGCCTCGTGAACTAACAGCGGTATTCAATAAATCCACCGAAGTTTCGTGAAATGTTTCGGTGGTAACTTTCTGCATGTTATCTGGAAATGGAGTATATATGTGAATGCTCAACATACGAAGAACGCAATATGTTTTTCAACATATCTATTAGAAATAAGAAAAACTTTTGAAAAATTCGTGTACCATTTAGTAACATTTTCCACGTCAAACAAAATTCTTCGATTTTGTTAGGACATCCGTTACGACATAGTCTCGCGAGTTCTTTGGGAAAATCTAAATACAAGCGAGAGAGAGAGCAAAATTTATTAACCGATGAACATTTATCGTATAGTATTATTTTTGCTAGATTTTTTTAATACTGTACTGTGCTTGCTGTCGTTGAAAGAACCATAGAGTTCATAAAATTGATGATCCACCGTTTCGATCAGTTTTGCTGACAATCGTTTTAGCACAACGCCAGTCGAAAACTTCCTGTGTACAACGTGATCAGCCTCGCTGTTAAAAAAAAAAAAAAGTACTTTAATATTGCTGAATTATAAAGTAAATTAAAAAGAGCAAAATAATGTTCAATAATAATTATCACCGCATTAAGTATTCTGCTTATATATATATATATCGAACTAACTTGAGCAGTTTTCCTTCGAAAATCAAGCCCAACTCATGTTTTGATTGCGGGTGACATATTACTTTGGGCAGCCATGCAGTGAGCTTTTTAGTGTTGCGAGGTCCGGTTTCAACATTTTTGGAGATTTCATTTTGATTTTTTATCGATCTCATCGAAGAAATGGAATTTATACCGTTCGTTTCTTTTTTTTTATTTGTCGAATATCCATCTTGATTTGTCACCGACTTTGTTGAATTCGTACTTGTTTCTTTTTTGTCACTAGTTATCGAACGAATCTCTTTTCTACCGTCGTTTGTCGTTTTAGAGCGAATATTATTTGTAGATACGGTTGGCGGTATAGATATCTTCTTGGGACTTGTTTCTGTCGATCGAATATTCGCACATTGTTTATCTCGGTCGTCTACGAACATACTCACGTCCGAATTATGATCAGATTTCGAACTTGTGTTGCATATTTTTAAGTTTAAATTTACCGGTACCGAACTGATTATGGTAGGTTTTAACTTTTTCGCAACAGTTTCATCGTTTGTTTCTACAGCAAGTTCCGTATGTGATTTTCGAGAGAAGCGAGAAGATTTAAGAAGATTATTTTTGTTTTCAGTATTTACACTTTCTTGATCCGAACTAACGCGCGATACCAATGTCGCACTTCTAATTGGTTTTTTCATATAAGTGTCTACATTCACAGCATCGAGATCAGATTTGTCGGTCTGATAGTCGATATCCGGAATAAACTGCGCATTTTTTTTAACTTTGTGCGAAGATTTTGGTTCTTCTTGTACAAAAATAAACTCGTTACTTCTTCGTACTTGGAACGGATTGTAACATTGCACATCTTCTGTGTGCTTTTCAGGTTTGTTTTTTCTATATGTATCAATCACATTTTTCCCAACATTTTCTTGACGATTGGAGAAAATTGTTTGTTTTTGCCTTGTTTCTTGCTGTTTGTGAACAAGTTCCGTTTCGTGATCTCTTCTCATATCGATAACTTCTATTTCATCTTCTGTGACACTAACGCAAGATTCGGAAACCAAATCTTGTTTAGAGTTATTAAATAAAGTTCGAACAGACCTCCATCTCAAATTTTCGGTGTCGCTCTGCGCATTTGCCGCGTTCTTTTGAAGATCCGTATAAACTTTTCTCTTCCTCTCTCTGCGTTTGTAAGTTTTTCCAAGTGATTCTTTAGTTTTTAAAACTTGTTCAAACGATACTTTAGGTACACCCAAATACATGCTTTCTGATTGATCTGAGTTGTCATTATTGTCGTATTCTGGTTCGTTTGATGAATAATTTGACGTGTGAATAATTTGATTTTCGTAGTCGTTAGAATATCTACAATTTTTCTGTTCCGTCAGTTTATTTTCACACTTATCAATATTTGCTCGGTTGTCATTTCGCATTAAACTCTGCTGTAATATCACTTCTGACTTGGATGTATCGCAACTTGCCGAGACTACCGAGTTCTCATCACAATTTGACTTCGTTCTATAAGTCGTTATAAAATCCAAATTATCTAATACTTCAAGAACTTTATTAACATAGACGGGAGAACAATTTTTATGTTCCAGATTGTTAATAATAATATTCATCTGGTCTTCTTGAAGAAAATTTTTTAAATAACGTATTTTTCTAATGACAAATTCAGATGAAAAATTCGGATTCAATTGATTATCACTTCCGATATCAACTAAATTTGTTTGTGCAACGGAAACTTCTTTTTCTTTGAATTCGGAAATGGGCTTTGAAACTACAGAAGTGTTTCTGTTGCTTTGTTGATAATGATCGGAGTGGTTATGATACTGTTTTTTTTCTTCTGGCGATTTATTAATCGACTTTTCAAGTATTCTGGTACATTCTGCAGATTTGTAACGTTCTGCTGTAGAAACAACTTTGTTTTTATTTTTGCATGCGTAAGCGAAATCTGTAACTTCACTTATTAAATCGTCATCACTGTCAGTAATGGGAGTAGGCCAGTGAAATGTCACAGGACATCCTTGAGTGAAGTACATTCTCCAAACCTGATAAACGTTCTCCCAATCATCAGGAAAGCCATTGTAAAATTTTCCACGAATGTAATCTGGTAAATCTGTGTAAAAAGTAAAGGAATGTACAATACTGATATAAAACATAAACTTATATCTCATTATAGCTCATAAATTTATATATACCATTTCTTTCATCAACAATATTTCCTTCAAGATGATATTTGTATTTGAATTTGGATTCAACACATTTGGTATTGTATCTTCTTATAATAGGTTTGCTATATACACGACTTCCACTGGTATGAACAAAATAAATATTAAGATTTAGAAGAAAACTAATAATAAATATTATATGCAGAATATATTTTGTAGCACTCACCATTTTAATGTTCCTTTGATTCTTAATTCAAGCTGCTTGTCCAACATAACTTTCCAATTTGAAAACACTCTATCGGTATTCAAGTGCTCCTTATCACTATTTGTACCAGAAGACATCCCAGTAAAAGTGCTCTTTGAAGGAAAAGTATTTGCAGCAGAAGACTGAACAGAACTATCAAGTATGACGGGTGCTGTATTTTCACAATTTGACAATGTATTCATTGGCTTTTTAGAGCCATGACAAACCACAGGTGTTTCTGGTGGTGGCATAATAAGTCTATCAATGTCATTTTTGTGCTTAACGTCATATTGTTTAACACTAGAAGTGACTATTTGTTTTTGATTAGTGTTATAAAAACTTGGTTTTTTCAAAAGTAAATTCTTTAAATTGTTGCTGGAAGCCAAGACGTCACTCTTCAAAGAAGGTGGACACCAAGTTGTGCAACTTGAATTAAATGCATCTCCATCGATGGATGAAAGACCAGGTAGGGACATACGTGTATCAGTTTCTTCCTCAGACATCTTTCTGCGGTTTGTTTTCAACATTGCCAGTTTCAAGGAACGTTTTAGCTTCTGGAATCGCTCATCCACTTCAAGATCTCCAAATGTGGTCTGTCAAAAAATTTATTTGTGATTTTCTTTAGCTTATAAAAAAATAAAATTAAACTGCTGCGTTGATAACTGAATAACACACAAACACTATAACTAATGATTTTTCGTATCATTTAAATTTGTATTTATATACCTCAGCTTTGCTACTATGATCCATTTGAGTGTGTATTCACTCTGGGAGAGGTGTATTCACTCTGGGAGAGGTTATAATTCCGCCTGTAAAAATTCACAATTTTGCATTCCACTTCAAAACAAACTGAAAGTATGAAAAATCGTTGCGATCAATCATCCGAACGCAAAGCATATCGCGTGCGAAATACTCACAATATTATTCTTCTTTCTTGTTCGAATAAAAGTACGACGCAATTAACAAAGCTTTCAAGTTTCAAACGTACAAATTGCGTTTCCGTTGTTGCGATCGAAGTCGATGAAATAGTCGATAAAATGTAATTAATCGATATATCGCAATTGTCGAAATATGCAATAATAACGGCCGCGTTCCGAAATTTACTGTCAGGGCGATGTTCCCATTGAGCGGAAATCTATAGCGGAACGGAATGTGCGGAACCAGCTCGACCAATCGTAACCACAGAAAAAGCGAAGGAAAGAAAACGGAATGGCTATGATTGGTCGAGCTGGTTCCGCACATTCCGTTCCGCTATATATTTCCGCTCAATGGGACGTCGCCCTCAGTTGTCGGTACCGAAAATCTATAGGGCGTGTTACGCGAAGTATAGATTTTTAGTACGTGAGCAAATGGGTGCGTTCAGAGACAACCGAGACAACTCAACGGTTGCACAACGGTTGAGAGATAATCACTTCCGATTGGATCGTACTTTTGGAACCGAAAGCAGATTTGGAAGAATAGTCCTGTCATAAGTGATGATACTCTCAACCGTTGAGTTGTCCGAACGCACCCGATATATATCGGAACGCGCGCAGCCACGGGTCGTATTGAAGTATGCCGCGGCAAATGACGGAACTGTGTTCAAATCACTCGTGATGCGCGTTTTGTTTTGGAATTTTCGTGTACGGTGAAATCGTCCCGCGAGAATCGCATAAGTGTTGCGCACAAAAAAAGACGGACGTTTGTTGTCAAGTATTATCGCGCGCGTACGATCGCGAGTGTAACGTTGTCGCAACTTCGGCGCAATAAATGACTTTTACACGCACCAGCCGGGGGACCAACGTCGCTTTCCGACGTTCAAGAATGCCAATACTTTTTTGTCAAAATGTGTGTGTGCAACAAACAAGTCAACGCATATGAGGTAAACAAAATTTATATATTCTATATATGCGTATAAAAATATATGCATATAAACGTTACTCGTTCATTTTATCGAATCCAATTTTTTATTGCAATTTCACAAACATCTCACGCACGTATAATCATTTCGTTTCTATAAATATTTCGGTCATTTGCTGTGCACGAATTTCGTGTTATAACATGGAATGGCGTCCGTCAAGAGGCGTTCTCTGTCTTGCACTCCCATGATGTCTAAAAGATCATTATTTATCGGATAAACACGAAAGAATTGATCTATGCAATAACATTTTCTGTGTTTTTATACACGTACACAACGCGTCACTGAATCGCGGAATAGGCGCGGGGATCGGGGGGCAAGCGGGGCGGTTGCTCGTAGCGCCAATGAGCGCCGTGCGAACTAACTAGTAGCAATCGGTTGTCCACAACTACGTCGTGTCGATAATGTAACT